CCTTCCCTTCCCTTCCCTTCCCTTCCCTTCCCTTCCCTTCCCTTCCCTCCCTGCCACTTTTCCTTGGGGTGGATGGTGAGGAGAGCCGGAGGCACAAAAGGCAAAGATCATGGGTTGAGATAAGAACAATTTACTGGAACCAGTAATGAGATAAGAAAATGAAAAGTTTCAGTAACAATACTAATGACAAAAATTGTTCAAAGAGAGGGTGATTTTCATGCAGAATGCTCACCAAGCCCAGGATAACAAAACAATGATGGTGGATGAATCTTCCATCTGCCATGCTTTCCCACCACTGGAAAAGAATGTCCTCGTAAGAGAGTCTCTTTCCCCCATTACTGGCAATGAGTAAGATGGCATCAAATAACATTAGGATTTTGAATGACTTAAAGCTCCACCCCCTCATAATAATTTATAACTCCAGAGACATGGCAAAAGGGAAAAAATACTTAGTGAAGAAGAAATTATTGAGTTATACCAAATACTGAGAGTTGCTCTTTTTTTTCCACCCTAAATGTTAAGTATACTCCATAAAAACTTTAGTGAGCTTTTTGAATGAACTAGACAGAGATTAGGAATTTTATGAATCCCACTGGATTTTTAGTATGTACTGTCATGCTGGCAGGTGATATCAAAAACTGGACAGCGATGGAAGAGAAGTGCAAGGACTTCCTTATCCATTTCTGGCTCATAGTTAATCAGGTGGCTGAGAATTCCAAGTGCTCTGGCAGGCAAGGACAGAGTCCTCCAAATACTGCAGTGTAACCCTCTGAGTCTGACCAGTGACTCTAACATAGCTGCCACGACAAGAATGTGGCAAGCATCCCATGACTGAACATGGAAAAGCAACTGGGTTTCTCTAAGCCAGCTTAAATGTTTTATTGAACCTCCTTGCTTGACTTAAAAGCTAAAGTGCCAGGGAGGGGAGTCAAATGACTAATGCCAAGATTTTGTTGTTTCTTGTATAACCAACTTGCCAGCTCAAGGTAGCTGAGATGCTTAGCTGACACTCACAGAATGGTATCATTTCAATGCCAGGGTAAGACTTCTCAGTTAATAAAATAAATCTCTGCCTTTGAAATTTGAAGGAAATTGCCTATTTTCAACCAGAGATATGAAAGGACTGTAATTTTAGCATATTATAATTTCAGTAATTCATATCAATTTACGGTCAGTATATGGTGCAAATATGTGAAAAGGTAGTGATAGTACAAGTTAGAAGACCATGGTTTGTGACTTATTTAATAAATGTAATTGGTTGTTTTGAATTTTTGTTGGGTTTTTTTGGGTTTTTGGTTGGTTTTTGTTGTTGTTGTAGTTGTTTTGGGTTTTGTTTGTTTTTGTGGGGGTTTGTTGTTGTTGCTATTGTTTGTTTGTTTTGTTTTTTCTGCATTTAAACACCTGTCCATAAGCAGAATTTAAAAGAAGCAAATGCAGCTACTACTATCTTCATGTGTGCATTGGCAAATTGGCTAAATATACACTCGGATTAATTTTCTTTACCTTGTATTCTTACTGGGATATGTCTATGGTCTTCTCAATAGCTACAACTGAAAATCTGTCCTCTCATTTGCAGGTTTTATTTTATGCAGTTTATTTATTCAACAGCATATTTAAAATTCATACTACTCATCTAGGATTGATTCTTAAGATTTTAATTATTGTATGTTAGTGCAATTAGGGTAATTGATTCATTTAATGTTCAGATAAGCAAAGTGCCTTAAAAAAAGATGATCCATTTTAAAGGAAACAGAGTTTGAGGCAGTGAATATAAAACAATATAACTCAATAATCAGGATGCTATGAAATGTATATTTTTATATGACTACATTTTGGACCTCAACAAGGAATTTTTCAAATCTATTTCCTCTTAATGAAATGTCCATTAAACACTGCTTGCATTTGTCTCTCTTATATACGTGAATATATACAAAAGAATGGATAGAAACAAGAAAGAATGGATAGAAATAAGAAAAGCACATATATACCAAAATATTATAAGGGAAATAAGTTCTCTCTCACAGGAACTCCATACAGCCACTGTGGTGCTTCCTGACAGAGTAAAGCAGCAGGAGACAGCTAATGAGGCAAGTCATCCGTTATCATTGCAGTGCTTAGCCTGATTTAGTTATCTGAATCAAAATGACAGATTCAGGAGGAAGGCTCCTGGGAACCTGACTGAAAATGTTGTGTTGATGTTACCATGCATTGATCAATCTAGTGGAGTGCCTCTTCGTCTCCATGCCAACAATGAATAGAAACAAAAAGCAGGGGTTAAGGGGCATGTGTTTGGAAAACTGATATTGGGAGAGATGTTTTCTTTATAAACACGTTTTGTTAAACACTGAAATAAGCTTCATGCCTGGGATAAGTCATGGCTTTTCAAAATATGGGAGGCTTTATATTGTAATCTCAGCTTGTCAGGAACAATTTTCCTCCTTCCTTTTAAGATTACTTAGAAGTTTAGCTTTAGAAGCTACACACTATGTCACTGCTTGCTTATTAACTTTAACATTTAAAGAAGCAAAGAGACTTTAAGCATTTCAATACCAGCAAAATGCCAGTCATTAGTTTTTTTTAAAGGGTGATCATACTTCTATAGAATATTAATTTTATTACATGGGTAAAGTTAATCTTCTTAGCATTAAATATTTCTAGAAAATATGCAATTTAGAACACAAAAAGTAATTAGTATTTGCAAAATGAAGAAGAAAGTGGTGACTAATTTTAATGGGTAGTTAAAGTTACAGCTAAAGCTTTTTGAATGAGAGCTCTGGACTAGACTTTTTTGCAAAATGAGTAAAGGATATTTTAAAAAGAAAACAAAGGAAAAAACAGTCTTTGGAAAGAAAATCAAGTCCATAGAATCAGAGAATCATAAGATATACTGACTTGGAAGGGGCTGAACAAAATGACCATTGCTGCTGGTATATACAGTGACTGACTTTCTGCTTTCTCTTCAGCTGACCCTGGCCTAATTACCTGGCCGGGCTCTGGGTCCTCCTGCTCTTCAGCTGCAACTAATGTTTGAAACTCCTGAGGGTCTTGAGACTGCAGCATCTCTGAAAAGAACCAGTCTTGCTCATTCCCCCAAAAACCACACAGCCTATTCACTTCCTCCTGTGGTTCCCTCACCTGGAGACACAGTCTTCAGCCACAGGACACTTTCTGCAAAAGAACTGTTTGCACCAGCCTTGTAGAGAGGTGTAAGGCAAACCTGGCAATCTGTGTCCTGGAGCATGGTTGAGTGGGAAACTGAAGTTTTAATTTGGGTGGGGCAAAGGCACTGTCTTTTGTAGATTCAAAGGGATTGCTGATCTCCAGAGGAATCTTCATTCCCTTTTTCCAGCCATTCAACAGGCAGATTGTGCTGAAATCAGAACCTGGAAATTCCAGTATCACAAACAATAAGAAGTCACAAATCTGGAAGAAAATATGGTAATTTTCCTATTTATATTTGAAATTAGAATTTATAATAATGCCAACAATGACTATGAAACTTAAGTAACTACAGCCAAAAGGCACAGACTGTGGACTTTAAGAGACAGTAATTAATACAGTGTTGAACACTTCTAAATAAGGATACAGAGAGAAAGGAGTTTGGAGATGATAAGAGTAAGACTCTTGACCCAAATTTAGAATCATAAAATTTTTCAGATGGAAAAGACTTTTGAAATCAAGTTCAACCATTGACCCAGCACTGGCAAATCTAGCATTAAACCATGTCCCTAAGTGCTACAACTAACCATCTTTTGAATAAATCCAGGGACAGTGACTCAAACACTTCCCACTGCATGAAAACTTTTCTGGTGAAGACATTTTTCCTAATAATAATTATAAACCACTCCTAGCACAGCCTGAAGAGTTTCCCTGTCACTGGTTCCCTGGAAGACCTCTACCTGGCAACAGCCTCCTTTCAGGCAGTTGTAGAGAGCAATGAGGACTCCCCTGAAGCTCCATTTCTCCAGATTATACATCCCCAGCTCCCTCAGCTGCTCCTCACAGGGTTTGTGCTCCAGACCTGTGTCAGCTTTGCCGCCCTTCTCTGGACTCATCCCAGTACCTCAATGTCCTCCTTGTAGTGAGGGGCCCAGAACTGGACACAGCACTCAAGGTGTGGCCACATCAGTGCTGAATTCAAGGGGAACAATCCCTGTCCTTGTCCTGCTGGCCACAATATTTGTGATGCAGGCCAGAATGCTATAGACTTGTGTAACGTTTTTGCGTCTCTCTTCATCATCTCCTTCATAGTCATTGTCCTCTTTGTCATCCCGTCTTTTAAATCTAGACTTTAAGCTGCCTCAGCTTTTCATAGCAATCTAACATGGTCAAACTATCTAAAATACTTAATGTATCTCATAGCAGAGACATGCACTGCTTTACATGGAAGCTCATAACTCTTCCCGTGGGACAGCAAACTAATATAGATTAATCTTGTACCTGGATTAAAAAAAAAAAAGGAGAAAGAAGGATCAACTGAAAAATATGGAAATATGTGCAGAAAGAGAGAAAGAGGTTACGCTTTCCTGTTATGTCATACTCAGTTTTTTGTTCTGCTCATAACTGCAGATCCAGTGCAGAACTTTCAGCCAGCTAACCGTGGCATTTTCAGATATTTCTTAATATTTTTTAAGGTCCTGCTTCTTTTATTGTAAAAGGTTGTAAGGATATTATGATGCTTGAAAAATACAGAACTTTTACAAATATGTAGCAATTAGACTATATACATTTATTTAGAGAACTACATTTTTTTCAATATTCACTAGGTATCCTCATCTCTCCTAGGAGCACGAGGTGTATTTCCATCAGTTCTGCTGTTTGAGTGCTCTGTCACAAATATGGAAAAGCACTCTTTACTGGAGCACCTGCATGACAGACAAGGAGCTGGATCTCTGTGGATCTGCATGCTCCTGCCAGAATGCATTATCCATAGCAGTGCAAGGGAACTCCTCGTACAAGCAGTGTTTGCATAAATGGAAAAAACAAAGGCTAAAACTTCACAGAAATACAACAATTTGGATTTTAAGGTTATAACCATGCTACAAATGTTCAAACTTGTCATCAAGGCTTATAGATTGGAAGATACTTTTTTTAATGTAAGAAGGATTTTATCTTGCTTGAATCTACTTGTGTCCAAGAGATGGGAGTGCTGGGTTGTTTTGGGGTGCTTTTAGGCAAAATCCCTTATTGGAGAAAATAAATACATAATAGTGGAGTGCTATTTCTGGAGTGGATTTCTCTGCTTTTCTAGCATTACTTGGGTTATTGCTGGCATTAGTAATGCAGTATGCAGACACTGACACGGCTCAGTCTTGTGTGACCTGAATAAAACTGGTGTTTTAATAGTCTGACCACTGTAAATGTCATGAATGGGATGGAGACCTGTCAAACGAGCAATTTATTTCCAGAAGGAATATGAGTGAAAATATATTCCATGATCTTATAGGGCTGTAGAAATTGTTATATTTTAGTTTTTTGAATTGAACAGCAAATGAGATACAGAAAGCAAATTATATTTGTCTGTCACCATTAGACCACCATACATTGGGTGGAGTGAATGTGAAAATGAAGCTTTACTTTCTGTCTTAATAAAATATTTTACAATATTTTCCACCAATGCTGTAGTAGATGGGAGGAATGATTCACTGGCTCAAAGCAACCAGCTGGAAAGTGTGTGTAGGGGGGCAGAGAGAGTTCTATGTAGGTGGGACAGTGTTAAACAAATACTGATGATGGTCTGTCAGTTTCTTATATACTGTGATGGAACAGCACCTATGAATATGGCTAAGGGATTCTAAAAATATCATTGAATAAGCTCAGTAATAATGAGAGTTTTACAATAAAGAGGCTGAGTACATAAAAAGCAGAGTAGAAGCATATTGCATAAAGAAAGCAAAGTTAATGTTACAGAAATTTTGATAAAATGCAAGATTCAGGATTGCTCATGTCAAAAATATGTGTGGCCTAGTTTTTATACACTTTATTTTTTTTTCATTAGTTTTCTTGCCGTACTAATATTTTTTCATCTGAGGCATCACTTAAGTTGCTCAAATGGAGTAACCTAAAGTTTCTTATCTGAAACTTAGCTGAATCTAAAATTAATTGAATCAGAACCAACACTATTTTATAAATTCTGAAAATACATAACTACTTAGTTCTTATCTCCTTATTTGGGAAAACTAAATACCTCATTTAAAGGTATTTCCAGATTGTCTGCTCAATTGTTATTGCATTCAATCTATCTTTGTTGCAGAATCGGGTGTTTATTGAGTATTCCAGCCTGCAATGAAAAGAATTGGATTCTTGTTCCATGTTCTGTTGACCTTCTTATCTCTGAAAGAAGACTCAAAATATTTCAGCTGACTTCAGCTGGTTTCAGTACATACTAGTCAAATTTGGCTTAGGAAATGTTGTTTTCATATTTGTCAGCACTGTATAATAAAAATGGCCTGAAATCAATCGGATGCTTTCCTTCCAGGAATTTCCATGTAGTATGGATTGAATTTAAATATCTATACAGACAGGCACACTGAATTAACAACAGATGAAAAGTGGAAGGCATTTCTTCTTCTAAGAGACATACAAGTTTTGTAGGATGGGAAATTGCAGGCAGTGTTGTGTATGCATCACATACTCTCCTTGAAACCCATGAGGAGCCCACAGGGTCCAGAAACACACTGTAATGTCCTTTCAAATCACAAGCACATTTTTTCTCTGTGTTTCTTTGTGATTTGGTATAGTTTAGATATGTCTATGGCAGTGGAAGAGAGGACAGATTTTCAATTTGCACTTATTATTAACTAGTATAAAACAGGACAGAGAATCAGATTCCAGAAGTAAAAAGCTTTCAGGGCCTTGTGCTAAACATTGTAAACAGCAAAAGTGTCAGACCACTGCCCTTCTCTTTTTGGTTGTAAAAAAAGTTCAGAACACTTTTAACTGTAGTAGCATTTTCATTCTTATCCCCAAATAGTGCATCCAACCTCCTCTAGTGCAATTTGGTTCTTTGGGACTATATGAATTGTTTTCCTTCCTGGTTTTCTTCATAATCATACATTCAGTTTAAAGAACTCACTCATTCCCTTAATGAATGATATATGAAATCCTGGAAACAGAATGCTACATCAGGCCTTGGAATGATCAAGCAGAAGCAGTCTAGAGAATTAGTTTTTTTCATTATAGAGCTCTCAAAAGGGAAGTGTCCCATATACAAGAATAACAAATTTACTTCAAGATGTGTCAGGTGAAAGCTGGATGTGTTTTCAAATGCACAGATCATTATTTATATAACTCTTCATAATTTTCTTCGAGTTCAGCCTCTTGGTGTTGCTTCAGTGCGGGTCCAGGTCTTTGGTTAAAAGTAGAATTAAATATCTGACAAGTGGATAGTGGAGAAAACTTAAGAGATTCTTTGGATTACTTTATTTATTTCATTTCTATAAAAAAAATCTGCTATGGGTTTATTAATACCAAAGTGTGTCTCTCAATTTAATGCAACTTTAGCCACAGGTTTAAGAAAAGCTGAAAAAAACTTTTAAAATGTTATAATTTGATGCTGTATTCTTTCTGTGCAACTAATGTTTTTCCTTTCTTTCTCAGAACTGTCAGCATTTATTCTGTGAGAATTCTATGCCCTAAAATTCTATTTTTTTGTTTAAAAATGAATATAGCAATCAAAACAATGAAAATTTTTGTCTTCTGAGGATAATTTCTTTTTAGATTAATGCAATTTATGTTTTTTCGTGTTTTTTCGTGTTTTTGGGGTTTGTTTTTTTTTCTGGTTCCATCAACAAGCTGAGAAATCCATCCACTGTTTGTACAGTTAAGGCTTCATGTTCACCTGTCATCCTTGAAACCAGGTTGTTTCTTTTGTCTATGTTAATACACTGACAAAGATTCACCAGTGCAAAAATATTCACTGACTGCAATTTGTGTGACCTCCTAGTTTTCAAATTAAGTTGTCATTTATGCACATCTATAATTGAGGGTAATGTTTGTCCTGCAAATATTTATTACCATAATGTGAGAGAAGGCAAGAATGTGACTTGTCTCAGAATGCAGTCCACACAAGCATAAAAAGCAATTAAAAAAATAAAACTTTTTGCTTGTAAACTAAAAAATTAAAGGCTGAAATAATGAAAACTTAAACCATTTTATAGTCATTTTACACACTGTCTTTTCTATACATCTTCACTTCTTCCATTTAGCCAAAGGCAAAGAAGGGAAAGGGAATGAGTAAACAGCCAGAATCTGTTTTGTAAGAGACCATGTCAGTTGTTATTAACTGTTATATTATGTTTCATTGGGCTGGTTGAAGGCAAACAGAAGGTCAAAATATTTGTTTTTCTTATTTGGCTTTCTTATCTTTGAAAGAAGA